TCTTTGTGCTGGAGTCGTTCATCGAGAGCACCGTGAAGAGACCCTGAGGGAACGGGACAGGGACAGGGATGGGGACAGGGACAGGAGTGGGGACAGGCACAGGAGTGGGGACAGGGACCAGCTGCCTTCGCCCGTGGTGCTGCTGAGGGGAATAAAGCAACAGTTGCTGATGGCACCTGAGCATCAACGGGGGACAGGGACACAGAGGACATGGGGACAGCTGTGACCCCTCAGTTTGGGTGTTTATTGATCACCCCTCAGTTTGGGTGTTTATTGATCACCCCTCAGTTTGGGTGCTCATTGATCACCCCTCAATTTGGGTGTTTATCCCCCCTTAATTTGGGAGACCCCCTGGCAGGACCAAGGGACCCCCCTGTCCATGCCCCACACACCCCAGAGCTGTAATTTATGGCAGTGCCATTAATTAAAGATATTTATGGAACGGTGGGTGCGATGTGGGGGGAAGGGGGATGTTCGGGGGGGTCCTTTGGGGACCCCTGGATGGGACACTCGTGTTTGAGGGATATTTTGGGGACACGTGACATCCGGGACGGGACACACGTGACTCGGGGACGCACGTGCGCTCGCCCCGCCCGCCACGCGCCGCTTCTGGCCTTGCGCCCAATCACAGCGCGCTTTCCCCGTGACGTATAACAAGGGGCGGGGCAGCCCCGGAAAGGAGGCGGGGCGCGCGCGGTTGCCGCGGCAACGGCGCTTGCTGTGACCACGCCCCTATGTGGTTGTGGCCATCCCAGAACAGGCCCCTCATCACCTCCAGAGGCTCTCCCGGGTCCTACCGGGACCCCGCGCCCCGCCCGGGGGTCACCAGCGATTCCCGCGGCCCTCCCGGCTCCCCGAGAGGACCCCCAGCTGTTCCCCCCGGGCCCGCTGTTGTGCCCTCACCCGGTGCGGCCCGGCCCTGACCCCGCCACGCGCCCGCCCCGTGACGTCATCACACCGCGCCCTTCGCTCCAAGATGGCGGCGGCCGGGAGGGGCTGAGCCGGGCCCAGGCACGGACCGGGATCGGGGCTGGGACTGGGAGCGGGATCGGGGCTGGGACAAGGGTGGGGCCGGAACTGGGACTTGGAGCTGAACAGGGGCTGGGCTGGGGCCACGACGGGGACCGGAACCGGGGCTGGGGGTGCTGAGCTGGGGCCGGGCAGGTACCAGGGCTGGGAGGGACAGGGGGTGGACAAGTATCGTTACCGGGGGGCGCGCGGGTGCCGTTACTGGGAGTACCGGCGGTGTCTGAACTGGTACCGGTCCCGGTGGTCCCGGCGGTGTCTGAGCCGGTACCGGGGCCAGGCAGGTCCTGGTGGTGGGCAGGTCCCGGTACCGATGGTGTCCGAGCCGGTCCAGGGGTGGGCAGGTCCCGGTGGTCCCCGTGGTCCGGGCGGTGTCTGAGCCGCTCCCGGCCGTCCCTGCCCGTCTCCCTCCCGTCCCTCACCGCCCCTCTCCCCTGCCCTCCCGCAGCCCCGCCATGCCTCCGCCGTGCCCGGCGCTGCCCCGTGCTGCCCCCGCGATGCCTCCCGCTGCCCGCGCGTCCCGGCCCGGCGCCGCCGCCGCGTCCCGGTGAGGTTTTCCCCCCCGGTGAGGCGATGCTGCGGCGGCTGCTGGAGCGGCCGTGCTCGCTGGCGCTGCTGGTCGGCTGCCAGTTCGCCTTCGTCGCCTACTTCTCGCTCGGCGGGTTTCGCAACCTCACGGCGCTTTTCGGCCGCGGGGCCGGGCCCAGCTTCGACTATTCCCGCACCCGCGACGTCTACGAGAACCTGAGCCGGCTCCTGCCCCCCCGGCCCCCGCCGCCAGACCCCGCCAGACCCCTCCCGTACTGCCCCGAGAGATCGCCCTTCCTCGGTGAGGGGGGGAACGGGGGGAGTGGGGGGGGGAAATGAAGGGGAAATGGGGGGAAACGTGGGGTTTGGGGGACTGGGGAGGGGAAAACAAGGGGTTTGGGGGATCCCCGAGGGGAGAAATGGGGAGTTTGGAGGGGAAAGGGGAGTTTGGAGAAGGGGAATGGGGGGTTTGGGGGATCCCCGAGGGGAGAAATGGGGGGTTTGGGCAGGGGTTGGGATGGGGGGGACACAGCCTGGGAGTCCCCAGTTTGGGATTGAGGGGGGACACACACCCCCAGGACTCCCCAATTTGGGACTGGGGAGGGTCACACCCCAAGAACCCCCAATTTGGGGATCCCTGGGGGTCCCCCTCGATTTGGGGTGAGGTGGGGACAAACCCCCGGGGCCCTCCAATTTGAGATGGGGGAGGACACACTCCCAAAACCCTCCTGGTTTGGGACGGGGGAGACACACCCCAAGGACCCCCCAGTTTGTAACTGGGGGGGGGACACACAAGCCCAGGATCCCCCAGTTTGGGACTGGGGGAGGGACACACCCCCAGGACCCCCTGGTTTGGGACTGGAGGGGACAAATCCTGGGTCCCTCCACTTTGAGATGGGGAAGAGACACTCCCAAACCCCCCCCTGGTTTGGGACGGGGGGGACACACCCCAAGGACCCCCCAGTTTGGGATAGAGGGGACAAATCCCAGGGCTCCCCTGATTTGGGGCTGGGGGGGGGGGAGACACCTGGGGGGACACACTCCTGGGGGTCCCCCTCAATTTGGGGTACCCCTGGGCCCCTCTGCTTTGAGATGGGGGGGACACACTCCCCAAACCCCCCTGGTCTGGGATTGGGGGAAGGACACACACCTGCAGGATACCCTGGTTTGGGACTGGGGGGGACAAATCCCAAGTCCTTCCACTTTGGGATGTAGGGAGAGACGCTCCCAAAATCCCTCCTGTTTGGGACAGAGGGGACAAATCCCAGGACTCCTCTGATTTGGGGTTGGGGGGGGGACACACACCTCAAGAACCCCCAGTGTGGGGACTCCTGGGGGTCCCCCTCGATTTGGGGTACCCCCGGGCCCCTCTGCTTTGAGATGGGGGGGGAGACACTCCCCAAACCCCCCTGGTTTGGGATTGGGGGGGGGGACACACACCCCCAGACCCCCTGATTTGGGATTGGGTGGGGGGACACCCCCAGGACCACCCAGTTTGTGACTGGGGGGGGGACACACACCCCCAGGCCCCCCTGATTTGTGACTGGGGGGGGGACACACCCCCAGACCCCCTGATTTGGGACTGGGGGGGGGGACACACACCCCCAGACCCCCTGATTTGGGATTGGGTGGGGGGACACACTCCCAGGACCCCCCAGTTTGGGACTGGGGCAGGAACACACTCCCAGGACCCCCCAGTTTGGGATTGGGGGGGGGACACACCCCCAGCCCCCCCCGCTTTGAGACTGTGGGATGAGGGGGGGCCAAACCCAATTTGGGGTCCTTTATCCCCCCCAGCCCCGTGTGCCCCCCTTTACTCCCCCTATCCCCCCCCCCAGTGGGTCCCCTGACGGTGACCTTCGCCCGGGTGCCGTCGCTGGAGCTCATCCGGGCCAAGAACCCGGGGGTGGGCCCGGGGGGGCGGTACCGGCCCCCCCTGTGCGAGGCCCGGTCCCGCACGGCCGTCATCGTCCCCCACCGCAACCGGGAGAGCCACCTGGGCCACCTCCTCTACTACCTGCACCCCTTCCTGCAGCGCCAGCAGCTCCACTACGGCATCTACGTCGTGCACCAGGTCCGGGGGGGGCGGATTTGGGGGGGCTTTGGGGGGGTCTTGGGGGTCCCAGACCCTTTTTCCAGAGCCTTACGGGATGGGAGTTGTGGGTGCGGCGGGGTGGAGATGCTGAATGTGGGGGTGAAGGGGGGTGAAGAGGGGTTTGGGAGGCCCCAGATGGGGGTGAAGAGGGAGTTCAGGGGGGGTTAGGGGCTTGGGGAGGTTTGGGGGGCTCTTGGGGGTCCCAGACCCTTTTCCCAGACCCCTGAAGGATGGGAGTTGTGTGTGTGATGGGGCGGGGATGTTGAATATGGGGGTGAAGAGGGGGCTCAGGGGGGTTTGGGAGGCCCCAGAGGGGCTTGGGGCAGTTTGGAGGGTCCCCACAGAAGGTTTTGAGGGTCCCCAGAGGGGCTTGGGAAGGTTTGGGGGGGTCTTGGGGGTCTCAGACCCTTTTCCCAGACCCCTGAAGGATGGGAGTTGTGTGTGTGATGGGGCGGAGATGCTGAATGTGGGGGTGAAGAGGGGGTGAAGAGGGGTTTGGGAGGCCCCAGATGGGGGTGAAGGGGGAGTTCAGGGGGGTTTAGGGGTCCCCAGAGGGGCCTGGGGAGGTTTGGGGGGGTCTTGGGGGTCTCAGACCCTTTTTCCAGACCCCCCTGGGCCGGGACTTGTGTGTGCAACAGGTTGGAGATGCTGAATGTGGGGGTGAAGAGGGGGTGAAGGGGGGTTTAGGGGTCCCCAGAGGGGCTTGGGGAGGTTTGGAGGGTCCCCATGGAGGGTTTGGGGGGTCCCCAGAGGGGCTTGGAGAGGTTTGGGGGGTCCCCAGTGCTTCCAGCCCCCCTTTCCCACTTTCCAGGCCGAGAATTCCACGTTGAACTGGGCAAAGCTGCTGAATGTGGGGGGTGGATGAGGAGTTTGGGGGGTCCCCAGAGGGGGTTTTGGGGGGGTCCCCAGGAGGTTTTGGGGGGTCCTCAATGCTTCCAGACCCATTTCCCACTTTCCAGGCTGGGAATTCCACATTGAACTGGGCAAAGCTGCTGAACGTGGGGGGTGGATGAGGGGCTTGGGGGGTCCCCAGAGGGGGTTTTCGGGTTCCCAGAGGGGGTTTTCAGGGCTCCCCAGGAGGTTTTGGGGGGGTCCCCAGTGCTTCCAGCCCCTCTTTCCCATTCCCCAGGCCGGGAATTCCACGTTCAACCGAGCAAAGCTGCTGAATGTGGGGGTGAAGGAGGCCCTGAAGGACGAGGACTGGGATTGTCTCTTCCTGCACGACGTGGATTTGATCCCGGAAAACGACCACAACCTCTACACCTGCGACCCCTGGAACCCCAAACACGTCTCTGTGGCCATGAACAAATTCGGCTACAGGTGGGTCACACCCCCCTGGGGGATTCTGGGGGCTCCCTGGGGGGGTTCAGAAGGGTTTGGGGGGTCCCCAGTTCTTCCAGACCCCCTTTTCCCACCCCCCAGGCCGGGAATTCCACCTTAACTGGGTGGAGCTGCTGAATGTGGGGGTTCAGGGGGGGCTCAGGGGGGTCTGGGGGTCTCTGAGGGGGTTCAGGGGGGTTTGGGGGTCTCTGGGGGGGTTCAGGGGGGTTTGGGGGTCCCCGGACGGGTTGTTCAGAAGGGTTTGAGGGGTCCCCAGTGCTTCCAGACCCCCTTTTCCTGCCCCCCAGGCTGGGAATTCCACCTTAACCGGGTGAAGCTGCTGAATGTGGGGGTTCAGGGGGGGCTCAGGGGGGTCTGGGGGGGCTCAGGGGGGTTTGGGGGTCCCTGAGGGAGTTCCCTGGGGACACTCTGGGGTGGGGGGACAGCAGCTGAGTGTGTGTGTCCCCCCCCAGCTTGCCGTACCCCCAGTATTTCGGGGGGGTCTCAGCCCTGACCCCCGACCAGTACATGAAGATCAACGGGTTCCCCAACGAGTACTGGGGCTGGGGGGGCGAGGACGACGACATTGCCACCAGGTGGGGACACGGGGGGGCTGCTGTCCCCTCCCTGGGGCTGGGGGGGTCATGTGTCCCCTCCCTGGGGGTGGGGGGGTCATGTGTCCCCTCCCTGGGGGTGGGGGGGTGTCCCATTGTCCCCTCCCCAGGGCTGGGGGTGTCACACTGTCCCCTCCCCGGGGGGAATGTCCCTGTCCCCCCACCCCATGACCCCCTACCCCCCCCAGGGGGATGTCCCTGTCCCCTGTGTCCCCCCCAGGACAGTGTCCCCATTTCTGGTCGTCCCCCCCTCCATGCCCTGTCCCCCTCAGGGGGGTGTCCCTGTCCCCTGTGTCTCCCCCTGTCCCCTGTGTCCCCCCCAGGACAGTGTCCCCATTCCCTGTCCTCCCCCCCAACCCCATGTCCCCCCCCAGGAGGGTGTCCCTGTCCCCCCAGGAGGGTGTCCCTGTCCCCCCAGGGGTGTGTCCCTGTCCCCTGTGTCCTCCCCAGGACAGTGTCCCCATTCCCTGTCCTCCCCCCCCATGATCCTGTGTCCCCCCCGGGGGATGTCCCTGTCCCCTGTGTCCCCCCACTGAGCCCATGTCCCCCCCAGGAGGGTGTCCCTGTCCCCCCAGGGGGCTGTCCCCATGCCCTGTCCCCCCCAGGGGTGTGTCCCTGTCCCCCCCAGGGGTGTGTCCCTGTCCCTCCCAAGGGTGTGTCCCCATGCCCTGTCCCCCCCAGGGGTGTGTCCCTGTCCCTCCCAGGGGTGTGTCCCCATGCCCTGTCCCCCCCAGGGGTGTGTCCCTGTCCCCCCCAGGGGTGTGTCCCCATGCCCTGTCCCCCCTAGGGGGGTGTCCCTGTCCCCTGTGTCCCCCCCCTGAGC